AAACAACTAAGAACTCAAAATAATTTTGTGTAGACTTGACATACGTTTTAGAATTGAGCTTTACAACTTGTGTTAATATTTTCTATACTGGAATTTTAAACCACAACAAAAACCTAGTCTTTATCATTCTATGAAGTTCAAGCTTCCAAGACATTACTGTACTCCAGAGTTTGCTCACTGATAGGCCCAGCAAGCAGTACATCGGTCGGACAATTCAACCGTATCTTGATCTTCAAAATCAAACATCGTGACTTATCGTGTTTTCCATCCATGGCCTAGGCCTGGGTAGCTCATGTGTACACTTGCTTCGCCTCGTGATTCGCGTGGATATGGACATAGGATTTGGTGGTGGACGGTGGTGGTGTTTTAGTCTCATGGCCATGGAGTCCTAGTGTTCGTCTTGCTAAGAATGTGACAGCATGAGCATGTCTTACTGAAACTCGGGTAAAACTTCTCTTTTTGTTGTTGTTGGACTTACTTTTCACTGACTAATCTAGATCTAGATCTAGATCTAAGATCTCTAGATCTAGAAGTCTGCGACTGAGTCATTATTGTTTACATGTGATGATGGTTAGTATTCAGTCAATGGGCTACATGATGCATCTGCATGGCTCATCATAAATCTGGTTCTTGTTCGGGACAAATTTAAACCCTGTGAGGTGCCCGAATTAATTGGGCGCAGTTGCTAGCCGTTCTTAAGTGCGCCTAGACTGCCAGTCTTGACGTAGATCTACGTTTGGCCCTATAATGGCCATCGAGTCCGAATAACATTTTTTCATATTCGGACTCGAGTCCGAATAAGAAATTTTTTTATTCGGACTCGAGTCCGAATATGAAAAAATGTTATTCGGTCTCAAGTCCGAATAAAGACTAAGAAGACGGCCTTACAAAATCAGAACTTTTTCTTCCCTTAGCCTTGTCTTGCCTTGGGCCTTGGCTCACGTAGCATGAGCAACAAAAGTAATGAACCAGAGTCTCAATGCTTGTATTTGTCTGGTAAAATATTCATTTCACATTTGTGTTGACGTACAAGTTCTGCACACACTGCTAGTGATCCTTACCTCCAGGACAAGGCTTGAAGCTCATTGTACATGTCAACGCCGGTGCCACCAAAAACGACACCAGTACCAGACTGAACAAACTAAAACCGGAAAACTCCATTGTAATAATTGATCGGATATTACTATTCTGTCTATATAGTAAAATTTAAAAAATACTAAGTAGAATTTGCCCGATTCTTATCTTCTGTGTGGGTGTTATCTACTGCTGTTGAGCGAGACACAGGCTTGTCTTGGGTTGATCGAGCAAGTCATAGGAACCAGGAACTCCAAGCTTACATCACATGACAGGTTAAATGTCATGTGACTTTCCCAGTAGTGACTACATTTATGGAATTCGTTGAATGGTTATTGGAACACAATTCGCACGGGTGGTTTCAGAGAGATGCATAGGCCTAGGCTATAACCAAAGAAGAGGCAATGAAGATAGGCCTAGCACTAGATTCTCTAGACCTTTGTTCTAAGGTCATTGATTGAAATACTGTACTTGCAATTTTTTCAATCCGTTGGTTACTGAAATTGTCGTAATACTGATATCATTTTGTTTACCCACACATAAGGCAAGGGTTGGTTGAGTTTAGTTTTGTTAGTAAAATGTTTTATAATCAAATTCATATGCACAATGATCAGTTCAAAAAGGAGATAACTCTATGGTAATGATTGATCACATGCAAAAACCTGTAAGTTCCGCAAAACTATGGTAGGTTATCTTTTCTTTGTTCATTAGATTTAAAAAATGTACAAGCCTAGAAACCTCTGAGTGCCTTTGCTTCATAATTTTGATTACATGTATTATGAGTCTACTCCTGGAGTAAAGGTCAGTTGCACCTGACTTGCAATGAATGACTCAGTGTAGAAATTATATTATATTCTGTGGCCCAATAATAATAATTATCATTATCAATACATGAAAGGCCTACGCTTCATATTTATTTCCAGTATACAATTGTAATGAACGTATCAGTATTTCTGAG